CATACACATCAGTTACGTGTCATCTCCAGTATAGTGCTAGTTTAAAAAAAAAAAAAGGCATCCAAAGTTTATGGTACTATACGAAATTCAGCAGAAGCATCTATAATTACCAATGCAACAGAAGTGGCATTTCCACACTATAACCACTGTTATTAATATTGCCATCAAATAGAAAAACTTTTCTTTCTTCTAAAAATTTTATAATTTAAACAGAAACTGTTCTTAAAGAGTATATATAACACTAAATCTGTAAAGCATGCTCCATTTTAAAAAAGCTGAAATAAAAAAGATCTTTTGCATTTTTTTTGCTGAAACATACCATGTCACAGCTTGTGTCAGCAATACGTCTTGAATCCTAAAAATTGTTGTTCGTTTGTTAAGCACAAACTACACAATGTACACAATGCTGTGCCCACCACAGGTATTGAAACCTGGTTTTTAGCATTATAAGTCTTCAAACTTACCACTGAGCCATTTGGGGACCCAAATAAATGTACAAAAATTAAACAATAAAAATATTCTAGACAATTAAATAAAACAAATTCAATACTTTAGTAAAATAAAAATTATTCCAAGTAACATATTTTTCTACTGTTACCTGTCAGCTGTAATAGTGCAATGGAAATTGAAAATATTACTAAACTGTAAATTGCTGATGTTTAAGTGAGAAAAGATAATGCAAAATTCACCTATAAAAAAATATACTGTTAAAAGAGTTGACCAGAGATTTCTAATTACATAAACAATACAACTAGTAGCATAAACAGAATTCATTTTTCGAATTGCATAATCAATTCAATAAATATTTTCAATTTCTAATTTTACCTGATAAATAGTGTTTTCTAAATTATTGCATTATTTGACAAGATAATTAGGCTTAAATGGTATTACAAGCCTTTATTTCTTAATTTTTCAGCAAATGTTTTAACATAACATTATCTTTGTTTTTTAATTTCTCTGTCAACATCAGGATTAAAACCTTCTTCTACTGCTACATACTTGATTAATGACAATTTGTTGTCATATCTTCCTGTTTACAACATAGTTTTAAGATTCTATCCATATAAAAAGAATAAATAATGACTTTTTGAGAATTAACATGATACAACCTTTGATGCATGATTACTGAGAATTGTTTTTGATAAATATCAGTTTCCAATTTTCCCTTATTTTTACTTACTAAAACATCCAAAGAGGTAAATAGTTATTTTCCTCAATTTCATTCCTAAATTTAATAGAACTGTCAATGTCATAGGTAGTTAGCAAAATCATTTACATTCTCTTTACCATGCCACTATATCAGAGACATGTCATCAACATATCTTAACCAAATTTCAGTTTCATTTTTGCCTTTCTTTATGCTTCATTTTCAAAACTTTCTAGGAATAAATCACATAATAATGGAGATAGAGTCCTATATACCTATACCTTTATTCTGTTTATAAAATTTACTCTTAATTTGAAAAAAAAAAATTAACACATTGGCATAATATAAAAAACTGTTTAGTTTAGATATTATTGATTAATTTAGTTTTGTGAGTGAATATTTTATTATTTTGTTTTTGTTATAATAAGAGTTAAAAGCAGATGACTGCGGGAAGTTTTGTTAATAATTCATTGATGTTGAGATTATCAAACATCACGTGCAATACATTGATGTTGAGAATATAGAAGGCAGGCAGACGATGAAGTGATAAAGATATAAATAGTGTGAGATGAGCAAAATAGATATGTGAGATAATAGCAAAAAAGGAGTAAAATTACAGGCCAAGGAAAAGTTTGGTGTGAAGTTAACTACTGTAGAAGTGATAAGCCTAATGATTGACATAGGCCTAATGCGTAATATGTTAGAGTAAGAATAACAGTAGAAAAGGAGATAAGAAGAAGAATTTATTCCATCAAAACATAGTTCTAAAGTAATTAAATCAACCTGAATGCACTTCAACAAAAGGAACATAGGATATTTCGGAGAAAGAAGACCAAACAATTATGGCAACTCACGCCATAATTGTAAGTGAATCAAAATTATTACTAGTGCGATAGTAATAAAGAAGATAGTTTGGCTTCTCAACTACAATTCTAAAGTAATTGAATAGGCCTAAGAGGGCTTTTGACAAGAAGAGAACTACATATATAGTGTTTATGATATACCTATAATCTCTATAGTGTGAAGAATTTGTTGTACATACGTTTAACTTGTTCCGAATATATATATATATATATAATTATCTTGAAAACAAGCAAAGTGTGTGCTGTTCATTTATAAATGAATTTATCATCAACGAGTCACAGACACCTACTGTAGAAGAATCATCAACCCAACAACAACATAGTATATATTCATACTGTTAAGAAATATAAGTAAAAGCCTTTTCTTTTGACAATTAGCAAAAAAGAAGATTATATATTCTAAATTCTGACATACATGCTCCAACAAGGTTAATCATATCCATTATTTCTGAAGCTGAATACTTATTTCTTTTAATTTATTCTCAAAACATGCAATGGTATTTTTCCACAGGTGCTTTAGTGAACAGTGAAACAATAAAAAAAACACTAAAACATCAATCTGATCAGTGTTGCATGTTAATTCTTTCAACAAGTTCTTAACTATGTATTTATTTATATCACTTAAAAATAAGAACGTTTTTTTTATATGCATTTTGCTGCATTGTACTTGGAACCTTAATATTAGATATAATAGTTCTAAAACTGTCCCCAATCTTATGGACTGTAGGTAAAGCGTATAACCTAGATAATATCAAGTTCTTAGGAATTAAACTTTGCTTTCCTTGAAGTGTTATGGTTATACAGTTAAATTGACTTTTACTTTTATCACTGTATGAAGTTTATTTATTTGATTAATTTTTATGTTCTCGTACAGACCTTCTTTGAGCAATTCTTCAATTTATAAATCATAATCTTTTCTATTAGTTAGTACAATTTGACACCCTTAATTGGCTGTACAATTATTCACATTTTGTTCATTTAAACTCTTTAAAATTTCAAAATTTTTTTTATTACTTGTATTTTTAAAATTGTTAACTAAATTACAACATTCACTTTTTATAATCTGAGCTTTATCAATATTTTTCAATTTTTTTAAATTAGTTTCAATTTCCATAATGTCTTCTTTGTAAAATCTTCTTGGATCTTTAAAAATTGAAACCTATATTTAAAACATCTAGACAATGATATAGTTGCTTATTATTTATGATTAAATCTACTTTATTTATAACTTTAGGTTTTTTTTTAATCTGTTATATTTCTCTGGTAATGAATCCAGTTTGTAATGTTTTTGGACCTTTTCTTTTTACTTTTCCAATAAAGGTTTAAATTTTTTGTCCAACATATTCCTACATCCATAAATGTTTTTCTGTATTCTTATCTATGAACTTTCTTTCCATTCTGTCCAATCTTCCTTCATTTCTTTCAATGAAGTTAGATACATTTGACATATTCCTTTTCCTTTCTTGACAGTAAAACTTCTTTTTTGTTGAATTGTAATATTCAATATATTCTCTTTATCTTTCTGCAGTTGATATGCCACCTTATTTTTCAACCTTGATATTATCTTATTTCTCTTGCATTTCATTAAAAATACCAGTTGTTGTAAGCATTTTTTCAACATAATTCTTTGCCATTTCCAGATTCATATTAAAATTAGGAAAATAATTATACAAGTTTTCAGATGTAATAAAGAATTAATTTATTGTGTACTATTAAATGTTGGCCTTATTTCTCTGTTATTTTGAAATACATAAAAAAAATTAGTAATTTGAAGCAGGAAGTCTTGTACATTTGTATTTTAGAAATAAGGTGCTGTAATTCTTTTATGTTTTGTTACAATTTCCTGCATACTTCTGAGTAAACACAAACTCTGGCTATCTGTCATTAAAATATCACTTTCCTGGCATTTTTGGGTCAATTTAAAGCATTTTGATGACATCATTTAAAAAATAAGCATACAAGTAACTAAGCCATTATTAAGTAGCAAATGCAAAGGTGAGCATAGAACTCGACCAAGGGTACACTTGATGACAATTTAAATTGGCAGTGAGCCAACTGAAAATCAAGAACAAGTGTGCCCAAGCAAGTTAGGTCATGTCCAATACATTTGTAGGGTCCAGGGATTTGAAAATGAGGAATGAAACAGGTAAACTTTAAAAAAGTACCCATTCAAAAGAAATCCATGATTTTCCATGACCTTAGAATAAAATGCCCATTTTCAGTCGAATGTATTTATTCCTTTACTGGATTCTGTTAAAGCAGTTTTCCAGGACTTTCCAGGTTTTCAAAACATGTACAAACCCAGGAAGTACATTTTAGTCAAGTTTAAAAAATAAATTTATGTTAGTAAAGTCATTATGTTTGAAGAAAAATTTAAATATGATAATTACAATTTTACTGATGCATTGAGTTTTTAAAATTATCACTGTTTTTTCTTCAACATTAAGGGCACTTCTGTATTACTAAACTCAAATGGTCTTATAAAAAAAAATCTCATTAGTAAAATTGTGATATTTCAGATTCAAGACGGTATTTTTGCTCAAAATCATGGGCATATTTTTTATCCTGTACAAAATAAAGAGCAGAAAATTATAATTTTTTTTGGCAAAAAATACCAGTTGGGTGGGCTTTTAATATCAAATCATTTTCTTAATTATCAAACTTCTTATTTTAAGATTTGCAACTGCTGATTAACTAGCATTATAAAAGAAAGAAGGAAAGAGATAAAATATAATTCTACAAGTGCTTGTAACAAGTTTTACATTGATATAAAAGAAATAGATGCCTTTAGTTTGCAAGGATGTGGATGAATCACATCTTGCACTGGATTAATCATCCAAAAATATAATTTCTGTTAATGTAAAACATTTAATTATCCAATGCATGACTATTGCACTATGAGTAGATACAGTTGCTACAAACAAAGCAGCACTGTGCCTAGTTAAACCAGTATTAAATAAACTATCAACATTTTTTAAGTAAATACAAACCTTTACATTCTCCATCAGCTTCAGAAGGAAATTCAACTTCAGCTTGTGGAACTCTTTATAAAATTCAGCAAAGGATAATGGAACTTCCACATTATTACACCGAATCTTTTGAGTCTTCTTCAGAAAGTTCTCCTCATCATTTTTATCACTAAAAAACACTTGAAAGCTCTGCTTCCAATAGTGTGTATCATGAGAACATTCCTGCTAAGAGTAAAATTTCAAGTAATATACAACTGTTTTTAGGTACTAATATTTTAAAAGATAATGAATAAAATACTTAATGAATATGTAAGGCATCATTACTTGTGAATATGTTTTAACTCTATGAGACAAGGGTGCATCAGTTTGAAACTTCAGAATTGGTTGCTATATATTAAGTATCTTCTACAAATAAATATATATAATAAGAGGTATAGCTTCAAAACTATAATATCAATTACATTACTTGAAGAATAAAGAGGGTTGAGCCAACAGTTGTGGAAGGAATGTAGGACCAGCATCAAAATATCAAACATCCTGCCCTTAACATAGGAAAGCATCAAAGAAGAAGAGGCAGTAAGCAAGTGCAGGAAGTAGTCTGGACACAGTCAAACCACTAAGACAATACCCCAAGGAGATGTTCACAAAGGGAAAAATGGACCCCAAGAATGAAAAAAAAATGGGTCCAGAAGGTCCATGGTTGGAGAAAAATTAGGCTTTCTCCAAAGGAATGAAAGGTTCTAGGGAAACCAAAAATGCAAAATAACTTCCAGTGTAGAATGAAAAGAAGTGGAAAACCTGGTAGCCAGATATGTCATAACATACGGGCAAAAGAGATAAACTAAATCCAGTTGAGACAAGAAAAAAAAAAAGAAACATTCCAAAGTACTAAACTTTGAATGGGTGCAAGAAAGAACATAGATCCAAGGATAAGTCCCCCCAAACCGAGTAGTCAAAGCAAGGAAAATGGGTATGAGAAGAGGAAACATCCGACAATTGACTAACATAAGGAAATATTCTGAGAAAAGAAACGCCAGCCTTGGGCCATGAATATGGTAAGCAAAGACTTGCATGATGCCAAGAAATACAACAGGGGCCAACATTAAGTTAACCCTATCGCCATGGGTCTCCTTTACTGTGCATGACACAAGGTTTTAGAGTCTTACATTCAAAATTTTATTAAACTACTTTTTGTTTATGTTATACCAATTATAATAGAATAAAATATTAGCTAATAATCCATATTTTAATAGTATACAAGTTTTAAGTTCTTAATTCTACAAGGCAATATTTAAAAAAAATCCTCAGTATGACCCATGTGACACATTTTCTCCTAGCATGCTATCATCCCTATTTTATCCACCATCCCTCAAAAAAGTATGAAATTAAAAGTAAATTACTCTATAAAAATCGTTATTGTTCAGATAAACCATAATTTTTATAATCTTCAATTTTGTTTGGTTACAAAACTATTGAATAGAATATCTGACCTCTCCTGCCATATCCTCTCTGTCAGAATTTGTTGATAGTTCTCTCTTACGTTTCATTATATATTACATATAACCAATAAGCTTGGATGAATTTGTAATGGCTCGTCACATAGTTAGAAAGCCAGAAAATTTTTGAGGTAGGTGAATTTGTTTACTTTTTTGCATGTTATTAGTCTATATTATCTAGTGCATTATTTAATTAAATAAAAATTATTAAGTGCATTACTATCTATAATAAAACAAATTAGGGTTAATTCTCTACGAAAACCGAGAGCAAAAAAAAAAAAGATTAGTTAAGTATTTTATTTCTTGTTCATGTTTATTCTTTATGTATAGTTATAAAAGTAACTAAAATGTAAAAATAGGGACCCTTTTAGGTTTGTTAAGATTAGGTTAGGTAAAATAAATAATAATATTAAAATAAAAATGTTTCACGAGGCACACACATTGAGCAGCTCG